GGGGGGGGGGGGGGGGGGGGTTGGTTTGGTGTCAGTCTGAAAAGATTGTGCCAGCTGTGGGAAAGTATTTCTTTGGAGCAGCCATATTGGACTATTCTCATTGAAACATCTGCGGAGTGTTTTCGATGTGAGCAATCAATAGGTTACCCTTGTGGCTTTTGAAACATTCCACTTTTGGAAATATCATTCAGAGTGTTCTGATGAATTTTTCAATAAAATCAATGCTTGTTGCCCTGGCTATTTAAAATGGATGTCATGTCTCATAAATTCATGATTTTTATTTTCAGGCAATGCCCAGAATTGCAGCTCCCCTGATGCAGTTCACAAAGTTAGGCAACAAATCATAGATCAAATAGACCTGTGGCTATCTCAGTGCCAACCTACTGGTCGGCATTCTATATGATGAGGTTGTGGTGGAGAGGCGTATAACTGCTGTGAGACGATGTCTAATTAACTTCATTTACGTGTATCACCTTTTCAACAGATGTATATATTGCTAAATATGGCCTTTATATCGTATTATATTGTGTATAATGGTCATACAAATTCCAAACAGTGAATATTATGTATCATCATGCTTTCGCATGTGCTTACTGTCTTATTTTTGTATAATGGCAAAATATCAGACAATTATCTCTGTCATCCTCTGGCTTCCTAATATTTCTGTCTTCGTATCAATGGGACAGGGGCTTGGTTACCATCATGCCATATGGGGCAAACTCTCTCTCTCTCTCTGGCTGCAATACGAATCTCGGATGTGTATAATTATTTGTAAGTCATGTGCATCTCTTAAACTCAATTTTATATGTTCAGGAAACTCAAAGGACGAGTTTATTTAGGGCAAGAACTTGTTACATATCTGAAAGTATATGTTGCGAACAAAAATAGTCTACATGGGCTACAAGCATAAGACAAACGTGATGAAGGAATAGCCTTCACCAAACATTCCTCGTGGTTACATAATATAGCATTCTTTCATTCATTCATCATCTGTAGATGTGAGTCCAACAGCTTAGTAGGAGTAGCCCTTGACGAACATTCCTTGCTTGGCCTCCTCGGATTCGCCCTCACCGGTGTATTTGCCGAGCTGAGCCAAGGAGTTGGCCTTTGCTCTTACAAGCAAAGTCTCCTGAGCTGCCTTTACATTCTCTGGTCTTCCTCCCCAAGTCTTCAGGCAAGTGTTTTGGAGGGCTCGTGCATACGAGAACGAGACATGCCATGGGTTAGGAGATTGGTTCATTGCATTCAAGTTAAGAGTCGCCTCCACTTCGGATTGTCCACCGGACAAAAACTGATCATTCGACACAAAATAAACACTTCAGTTGTCGAGATCGTGATTCTGATGATAAAGTATAATGAAATACGATTTATATATCCAAATAGTTATGGATCCTGGCTGGAGACTAGCTCGGGTATGGAATTTAGATGTTAACTCATTCTAAGTATGAGACTCGAGTTTAAAAGTTTTGATCTAACACGTTCTAAATTGACTGTTGGGAAATAGGGGTTGTGTTTTTAGGAAACTTGCCATGATTCCGGGAACTGCAGGGGGGATTCTCCGGTGAAGAAGCTTGAGGGTGTAGTCGGCAACTTGTTCCGGTGTGGCCTTGTCCTTGCACTCTGCTCCAGGAGTGACCATGCTGGGCTTGAGTAGGATACCTTCAAACATGACATTATTCTCAGCAAGGTAGAAGAAGACTTCAGCCCACACCTTCTGTGCAACTTCGAAAGTCCTCTCGATTCCTTGTTCACCGTCGAGCAAGATCTCAGGCTCCACAATTGGGACCAAGCCATTGTCCTGTGAGATCAAACAGCAAATTATGACCACAGAACAAATTAAAACTGCCAAAAAAAAAAAAAGGTTTAACCAAAGGCTATTATGTTATAATATTTTTGTCCTAGTTTGACTCCATTAAATACCCAAATAAGTTGTACCCATCTATTATTTAGTGGTAAACATTGATATCGTAATCGTACCCTTGTACCATTACTGTATGTATCATTTCACCTGAGAAATGGAAGCATATCGAGCAAGTCCCCATGCTGCTTCCTTGACTGCAAGTGCAGACGGACCGTTGGGAATGCTCACCACTGTACGCCTGCGAGATTGAAATCAAACAGTTTGTGTTGTGACTATGAACATTGTGAACTTGAGTCCTGAAATGAGGGCATTTGGAGAGCAAGGAATTGTACCATTTTGCAAAGCGAGCACCCTGTTGGTAGTAAGCTGCTGAGCGAGAGGCGAGGCCGTCAAGACCTTGGCACCATGACTCATTGTTTGAGCCTGCCAGGGGGACTAGACCCTGTAGCACTCATCACCCCAGAACTCACTAGTCAATAAATGTTTCACAAGAAGTCTGAGGGGATTACATATATATATGCAATCTTATCCCGGAGAGACTGTCTGAAGTTATAATGTCCGGATTAACCAAATAACTTGCCAGGGGAGCTGGCCCATTTAACACTCATCATCGAGAATTCACAGTAGTGAATAAATGTTGGCATCAAACACTGAATTACACGATAGCTTACCTTGTCGACTTTGATCCCGGGAACAATGCCCTGCTCAACGAGGACATCGACTATTTTCTTGCCATCAGTGGTGGACTGGTACAGTGTCTCCTCAAAAAGGATAGCACCTGAGATGTAGCTGCCAAGTCCAGGAGCAGTAACGAGGAGGGTCCGGTATGCCTGGCGATTCGCCTCAGTGTTCTCCAGCCCAATGGAAGCTAAACGCTTCCCACAGGTAGCATTTGACTCATCCATGGCCAAGATTCCACGGCCAGGAGATGCAACAGTTTTCTAAATCAAACCAAACAGTCAGCATATGAGAAAAATACCGCCAGCCCATACGATAATTTTTTTGTGAATAGTTTGATATGCCTAATTACCCATGTTTATTGAATTTGTTGTGCTAAAAACTTTGATTTCATTGAGGAAAGGACGGTTGGAATATAGGGGAGTCCAACGATACAAAGAGAACTTGTATGTTAGAAACTCGAACCTACCCAAATAGATAAACTTGAAGATCCCTCCGGGAAGTTTTTCCGGCAAGTCAGGACTGCTATGGTGACTTCCTGTTAGAGACTCGTTGCGCATGGGTTTCGAGCCCAAAAGATGCGCCTAATAGGTGAAGTGATTTGCTCTCTTAAATGATCCAAGACTCCCTCGTCACCAATGTGAGACTTGTTCGACACCTCAACAATTCTCCTTTTAAATGAGGCTTACAATGGATGATCATCTCTATTCTGTCATCTGGCACAAGAAGCTAAGTCTACATGGTAGCTTGGGCATAGCTCTAATCATCTCTGTTCTCTCTGGCACAAGGAACTAAGTCTACGTGGTAGTTTGGGCATAGCTCTAATACCACTCGTCACCACCTGATGTGGGGTGGTGACTCTTTCCGCAACACCTCAACAAGACAACTGGTAGAGACTAGTCGTCCCTATACTCTTTTTATTGACTTCCTGTGTACCAGTAAGTCAGGACTGCTATGGTCATGCCCTCGCGGGGACTGGTCACCCCTCTAGCCTTATTAGCATTAAAGAAAAGGGTTAATCTCATTTTGTATCTTGAAAGATTGTTCGAATCCCAATTTACACCCTCAAAGATTAAAAATCTCAATTTACACCCTCAAAGATAGAAATTTGTATCAATATGCACCCCCAAAGATCAAAAATCTCAATTTACACCCTCAAAGATAGAAATTTATATCAATGTGTACCACATAGATAAAAAATCTCAATTTGCACCCTCAAAGATAGAAATTTGTATCAATGTGCACCTAAAATTAAATTGATAAATTATACCTAAATCTCCTCATATTTGTCAGTTAATCATTTAGACTTCTTCACATTTAGAATATTACTCATATATCTTATGACATTTGTGCACATATAACACGTAACACATTTTCATTGATATCTATTAATATAACCGTTAAAAAATATAATTTTATCCTAATAAAAAATTATAATTTCATATTACCCTTTATTTTATAGGTTCAATATACTATAAAGTTCAAAATCTAGTTTACCATTTGAATGTCTAATAAAATATAAATATTTATATAATATTTTTCATATTACCTTTTATATAAATATCTACATTTTATTAGACATTCAAATGGTAAGCTTGATTTTCAACTTTAGAGTATATCGAATCCACAAAATAAAAGGTAATATAAAATTATAATTTTATATTAGGATAAAATCATATTTTTTAACGATTATATTAATATATATTAACGAAAAGTGGTTATGTGTTACACATGCATAAACGTCATGAGATGTAAGGGGAATATTCTAAATGTGAAGGAGTTCAAATGATTAAGTGACAAACATGAGGGGATCAAGGTATAATTTATTAATTTAATTTTAGGTGCACATTGATACAAATTTCTATCTTTGAAGGTGCAAATTGAGATTTTTTATCTTTGGTGGTGCACATTGATACAAATTTCTATTTTTGAGGGTACAAATTGAGATTTTTGATCTTTGGGGGTACACATTGATACAAATTTCTATCTTTGAGGGTGTAAATTGAGATTTTTGATCTTTGAGAGTGCAAATTGAGATTCGAACAATCTTTCGAGGTACAAAATGAGATTAACCCTAAAGAAAAAACCCACTTCCTCTTTTACTTAGTTTTTCCAATAAAAGCTATCCTATTCCTTTTGGAAGCAATTGAGATATTGATAATGGAAGTATTGATACACATAGGAGGAATTTTCTATATAGTTCTGTGGATCAATTTGAAGCAATACAGATATTAACTACGCAAAAAGAGTCATGATACCAAGAAGGAAGTAGTTGATGTAACACATACCGCAGTTTTGACAAGCTCATCAGCATATGAGCCAGCGCGGACGGTAAGTGCAGAGGGCGCAACTGGGTGGCACCGGACCACGGAGACAGAAGGCTGCCGGAGGGTCTGACCCTTCACCCACTCCGACTTGTCGAGGACTGGTGAGGACTTGAGGAGAGATGCCGATGCCATTTTCTACTGGAAAGAAGAAAGAAAAAACTGGTCTTAATGCTCTCTTATCTCTCTGTCTATACTATCCCTCCTCTCCCACAAGCTCTCTATGCTTTTCATACAACATTTTGGTCACGTAGCAGAATTTATAGTTCCTAGGAGATATGGCTTTTGAGGCTGTAATAAATTGACCAATCAACAAGTGTCATGTGAGGTGATAATTTGCTTACTTGGCATGCTCCAGAATAGGTCGGTTGTGGGGGGTTGGAAATGTAAGTTGTCGCTTGTCTGTAACACTTTGTGGGCATATGAAGTTTTTGAAAACCAAATGGTTTTTGTTTTGTCAGAAATTATAATTACAGCAAAAAAAATAAGTACATTAGTAAATATCGTTTTTTGAAAGAAGTATAGGAAGTTAATTCAGGTAATCAGCCACTCCTCAAATTTATTAAAGATCATGTGGTCATTTCTTATCATATATAATAAGGCTTTTAATGTTAGAATTAGGGTCGAATACTTGAATTTGATTCACACATGACCCTTTCTGACTTCCATCCTCTTTTTTCTTAGAAAAATATACAAATGTATAAGATGTGTGAATTAAATAAATAGAGTAAATTATATATATGATTCTTAAACTATGATTTTTGTGTTAATTTAATCTTTAATTTTTTTTGTGTTAATTGAGCCCCTGAACTCTTTACTTGTATCAATTGAACCTTTTTGTATGCCTCCGTCATAGTGTGTCACTTACATGACAATATGACATAAAAATGTAAGGGATCAATTGACACAATTAGAGAATTCAAGAGTTTAATTGACACAACGATCATATATATAGTTTACTCTAACTATTTGTATTACATGAGTGACACACTTCGCTATTTTAAGGGTCATATGTATAGTTTACTCCAACTATTTGTATTACATGAGTGGCACACTTCGCTACTTTCCGTTATAAAATTTAACAGAATCAACACAAAGATTCAATTGACACAATTAGAGAGTTTAGAGGTTCAATTGACATAAATAGAGAGTTTAAAAACTCAATTAACACAAAAAAAAAGAGTTTAGGGGTTTAATTGACACAAAATTCATAATTTGAAGGCCATGTACTTAGTTTACTCAAATTAATATATTCTTAAAGAAAAGGACTTGAAAGAAGTTATATTATGATTTTTATGCCAGTTTAAAAAAAAAAAAAAAAATTAGAGGCACCACCAGATTAGATGTGAGGCTGTGATTAGTCTTCCATTCAAACTATATTTACAGGGAAATGAATGGTAGACTTATGTGCTGGGTTGTGCTAAAAAAATCTGAGCAAAATGACATGTCTTTATAGCCCACATTACGTTCAATGCTATTGTCTTTATTACCAAAAAGATCTGGCAATTTAATTGAAAATTTCTTCCAAAAAAAAAAATTATAAGTTGTACCCTGAAAGATAGTTTGAATCTCAATTTAGACCCTTAAAGATCAAAAATCTTAATTTACACACTAAAAAATAAAAATTTATATCAATGTGCACCCCAAAAGATCAAAAATCTCAATTTGTACCCTCAAATATAAAAATTTGTATAAATGTGCACCCCAAAAGATAAAAAATCTCAATTTCTACCCTCAAAGATAGAAATTTATATCAATATGCACATAAAACTAAATTAATAAATTATACTTAGATCCAATCATGCTTGTCACTTAATCATTTGAACTCCATCACATATAGAATATTACTCCTACATCTCATGACGTTTGTGCATATGTAACACGTAATCTCTTTTCGTTGATATCTGTTAATATAACCGTTAAAAAATATAATTTTATTCTAATAAAAAATTATAATTTCATATTATCCTTTATTTTGTGGGTTCGATATACTCTAAAGTTCAAAACCAAGCTTACCATTTGAATGTCCAATAGAATGTAGATATTTAAATAATATTTTTTATATCTAATGCAATATACCACTCAATGTGTAACCCTTTATTCTATTATACATTCAAATGGTAAGTTTGATTTTGAACTTTAAAGTATATCGAACCCATAAAATAAAGAGTAATATAAAATTATAATTTTTTATTAGGATAAAATTATATTTTTTAACGGTTATATTAACAGATATCAACGAAAAAATGTTACGTATTACACTTACACAAACATCATGAGATGTAGGAGTAATATTCTGAATGTGAAGGGGTCCAAATGATTAAGTGACAAACATAAAGGAATCTAGGTATAATTTATCAATTTAGTTTTAGGTGCACATTGATGCAAATTTCTATCTTTGAGGGTACAAATTGAGATTTTTTATCTTTGGGGGTGCACATTGATACAAATTTCTATCTTTGAGGGTGTAAATTGAGATTTTTGATCTTTAAAGGTGTAAATTAAAATTTGAACAATTTTTCGGTGTGCAATTTACGATTAACCCAAAAAAAAAAAAAAAGAGGTAAGTATGTGTGACATTTCGCACTTACATTCTGTCCAAAAGGAGGACACATATCACAAAAAAATAGGTATTTGTCCAAATTCTTTTACTTTGTATAAAAGATGGTCGTTTTATTTGAATAAGAAATAAATCATATACATTAAACAGTGAACGTTGTATAAATTCGTATAAGGACGGAGGCAGGGATGGATTGCAACTCATCCCCACCCCACAAAACCTGTAATGAATTTTCAGTTTTTATTTGAATATATATAACAAATAAAATAATTAAATAAAACACACATTTGTTATATATATTATTTTTGCATGTTTTTATGTTTAATCCATTTGTTATATAATAAATTTTCATCCTTCTTACAAACCAATTTGTGAGGTTTTATAAATTTTTATTAAAATCATAAAAATTAATAGTTATGGGTGAGAACAGTAGAGGAGACTGGGATCAAATTTTACCTGCACGGCGAGAACAGGAATTAAAATTTCTCTCCCCTATCAAGATAGACCAAAGATGGACAAATATTTTTGAAACGGATACACCGTGGAAACTACTCCCCCTGCCCCTGCCCCTACCCCGGTCCTCTGCCATCCTTACCGGCAATGGCTTAAGCCACTCAATTGTAGAAAAGATCTTACCCTTTTTTTGGCTTGAACCACTCAGTAACCTGCTAGCAGCACAGCATTTTCATATAGTTGCAAGGATTACACTGATCACAAACTTCGACATTTAGGAAGTACCATGAATCATGATCATTCAATAATAAAGGTTGTAATTTCTTGAAATGAAGGCGGACCATTGAAGGCCATTGTCGTCCTCTATTACTACGAAGAAGATCAACTAAGATTCAATGCCCAAAAAAACATCGACTTTTTAAAAATTCAACAAACCATAAATACATAAGTTGATCTGCACTTTGCACCCCCTACCAATTCAGTGTAGTTTCGTCCATGAATTACTCAATTGTTCAAAAAGCAATGCAGCACAGTCTCACCTTTGTGACCTCGGATACCCATGCACAACAGATCATTCTTCTGTACTCGAACGATAGAGAAGTACTGTTTGAACTCAGTCAAGATATACGAGAACCAGAGACCATCAAAATCAAATTTTGTTTACTCTTTCCAAAATTGTGGCATTATGAATGCTGGTTCTATCCAAGGTAGGTGGAAGAAACCCAAAGAAGCACGTAAGTTATCAATGAAGTTGTCACTTCCAAACTCCTTGGTCCTTTAAGCATTGGTGGGATCACAGAGACCATCAAGAAGGTTCCCAGCAGCCAGGAGACAATGAAAGTTCCAGCCCTGCAATGAAATAAAACTGAACATTATGTACCACTTGCCAGGTGGAAATATTATACTTTCAGGAATAGCATTTGATGGGAAAGTATACGAGATTATTCAAAATCTATTGCCTGAATGGCTGAATCTTAGGCTGGAACCCATTTACACAGAATTTGTAGTTACTCGGGTGTGAGCAGGGAAATCAAAAACTTTGGTAAACTCAGTTGAAGAATTATACAATACAAAGTAACAGAACAAATGTAATGACACGTACCCATAAAGAAATGCACGGAGTTTGCTCTTCAGCCGATCATGTAAGAAATACATTGTAGCAATCAAAGAAAGGAGCACCTGAAAGGTCGGGCCATCTTCCGTTGGAAAAAGTACTGTGAGAGCTCCAAGTATTATAAAAGCAATTGAAGTTTTTATGATGACGTTTGTAGATGGAGTTCGAAACCTGCTTGTGACAGCCTGTACAACTCGGGACTGAGTCACTTCCTTAACCTTTTTCTTGATGTTAATTTTTGGGTTCTTCCTGTCATAGAACTTTTGCATGATTATTTTGTCATGGGCTGATTCAATTGCATCCACACTCGGCTTGTGCCCTGCATATCTCTGTATTAGGAAGTTCCTTGCAGCTTGGATTTCATCTTCAGAAGCTTCCCTGCTGATTCCAAGCCGTTTGTATGGGTCCCTTATACTGATTCTGGGAAAGATATCTGTACTTGAGGAGTACAATAAAAATGGAATTTCAGAGACTGAAGAATACTCACATGCAAAATCATCGAAAAACATTACAGTTGAACTTCACCAAAAACCAAAAAAATAATGAGTGAGACAAGCCATCATGTATGTGGAGGTAAAATAACCATAAATAAATCACAATTCATCAAGTTTAATTGATATGCTAATACAGCCACCTTATGATGGTTGGACTTACAGGGACATCTAAGACCTAACAATATCAAAGCCACCAACATCAGTATTGGGGTCCATGATAAGTGCAAAACAATGCACAATTCAACATTTGTCCATTTATGGCTCAGTTTTTACCCAACTCCAGGAGGAAAGTCCATTTTTATGCTAATATTGAAGTGCTCATAAATGATAGGTGCAGCCATCAATTCTCACATCAACTAACAGGACTATATTCACTTCTGACCACTTTTCATAAGTTTTAAAAGTTGGTCTAATTAATAAACATAACAAATTTGATGCACCTCCAAATCTTGTGGATGGAAAATTACGACAGTTACAAAGGTACTTGTAATGCTATCTACTTCAACAGAATGGTTCTCCAAAGAACCATGCAACCTTGGCTTGGTTTATTAACCATGTCTTAATCCTGGTATTCTATGCATTGGATATGCATTTCAGATTGAAAAATGAGGAAGGGGATAGAAATAGAATGATCAATCAATTGACAAACAAAGCAGAATGAAAAAAATTACCAGTTGAGCCATCTCCATCATCACCGTAGGAAGCATCCATTGCACACTTCACCAAAAGGGTTCTTTGTATGTTACCATTCTGTGTAGAACCAGCCCAATTATTTCTACATGATGATAAAAATGGGAAACAATAATCACGATACATCCTACAAGTAACACATGTTTTAAGAATAGTGGTTGATCCAGATTTACCTTTCCAGACAGAGCAACTTCCTAGGTTTCCCAACATTAGGAAAAACCAAAACTCGCTTATTATGATACCCCAGACGTCGTGTAGGCAAGTGCAGGCATAACCTTGTGGGGCTACCCGTCAATCCATACAAACTCATCTTTGAAATACCAAGATAGCTGCTATGAAACTTTAAATTAGTTGATAACAAATCAAAACCTGCAACAATGAAACAAATTGACCCTGATCAGCTGTGAAGATAGCACTTGAATAACTTTGAGAAAGATGAAAAACAAAAAATCAGAAAAACCATGGGTCAAGTGGATTGAAAATATCTAAAGGCTGGTACTTTCAAACAACAAAAGGGTGTCGGTGCAAGGAACTGAGCTAAATTGCAAATATACCAGAGTAAATTCACCCTCTCCCACCACAAAAAGCAACTGAGCTATTTCTTTGGAATGCTCCTACTAAGATGAGAAATTCACCAATAAAGCTGCTAGTACCAGCTGAACTCATATTGGCCAAAGTGGAAGAGAAGAAAATGGTAGGGAGATTCAGCATGGCGGACCCATTTGTGGAGGCAAACTGAAGGAAGAGGGGAAAAACGGTGTTGTCATCTATCTCGACAAGTTTCCCGTTCTGAACTTTTGAATTTTATCGAGGACAATAAAGGGAAGTGTTGCCCTTCATATCTTCTATGTGTAAATAACTCATATTTGTTAAGCTCCCATGCTGCTGCAACCTCTACTCTTCAAGTAGACTAGATACATGACAACCAATACTTACCATGTTCAAATCAGATGCACACACTATTTCGCAAGAAATGTGCTGAGGAGCACTAAGCAGCCAAGCTTCCACAATTTTGGCTAACATATGTTAATCAGATCATAGGAAGTCAAAAATTCATAATACTACATTTCACATCAACCCAAGCATTAAGCAGTGCTACAACACAAGCGTAGAACTTTATTATTAGTGCGCCCCTTTCCCAATCATCAATTGAAACAACATATAATTTGCACAGCACAAATGTCGCCTACACAATACGAAATGTAATAGTACACATGAGGAACTTTTGATATACAAAAACTAAACCAGAAATTCAGTCCCCAAAACTACATACACCAGCTAGGAATAGTAATCAGACATAAACCACAAAACCACACAACTAAGGTCATCTCTTCTCATTTTTCTGCACTTTGTGCTTCTAATACACAATTTGCAAACAATAAATCAAAGGGCGAAAAGGGCAGTTAAGAAAACGCAGTAGTAAGTTTCTGTGACAATCAAGAATTTCCATTGCCATTGTTTTACAAAAATTGTTATATTCACTACAAAACCCACATTGCAAGTAATACATAAAAGAAAAAATGAACTGGGTAATGAACTCATATCAAGTACAGAAAAACAAATTAGTAAAAAAAAAATACAAAAATGGACGAAAATTTAATAAGTACCTAAGATTAAAGAGTCGCTGCTAGCCTCTTCGCGATTGAAAACGTGTCAGTCAATAAAGAAAAAAACAACAAAATCTCCTTTCCATATTTCAGACAGCCATCGAAGAGAAAGAACGGCAACGGATAAACGAAGCAGCACAGCGAGGGCTTCGTCTCGTTTTTTGCACAACTTAAAACCCTGTTTTTGGATTACCGTCAATTTGTTTTTGATACCTTGGTTTATAAAATGTAATTTTGAAGATTGTGTCAGAATCCGTTGTAGTCTAGGTGGTTAGGATACTCGGCTCTCACCCGAGAGACCCGGGTTCAAGTCCCGGCAACGGAAATTTTTTTTTACCCTTCTTGGTTAAATTGCACTTTACACCCCCAAAAAGATTTAAGACTTTTCACTTTCACCCTCAAAAATCAAATTTTTTATATTGCACCTTTAAATATATTTTTAATGTGGCATTTTCCTGTAGCTTTCATTGCTTAGTCAATATCAATGGGTGATTTTTTAAGGAACAAGAAACGAAAACTAATGTCACATGATAACATTTTTTAATATATTGAGAATGTAATATAAAAAATTTAATCTTCAATAATATAAAATAAAAATTTTTAAGCCTTTCGAAGTACAAAGTGTGATTCTCCCTCCTTTTTTTTCTCTATTCAAAAATTGAATACTTCAGTACATCTCCTTTGTCAACCACCGACATATATTTATGACTTCTTATTTTTGTGCAATAAACTGAAAATTTCTCTTTGTAAAGTAAAGAATGTCACATGATAAAAATTTTATTCACCAATCAAATGGTGGAAAAAAATGCACAATTAATCTAACAAAAACCAAAATTCAAAACATTTTTAATTACAAGAAAATATCATCTATATATAATAACTAGTTATTTCTCATGTCTAAGAGTAATTAAAAAAATGGTCAATAATAAACATATTTGTATTTACACTTAAAATCAAATTACAAAGATAGATAAGAGAAAAAGGAATTTAAGCACCGATTATAATTGGGACAAGCAATTGTAATGATGGTGTGCGACAACAGTGGTGGTGGAAAATGGTGATAGAATGGTGGTGGTGGGGGTGGTTGTAGCGACGGTGATGGTGGTAATGGTTTTTGTAAAAGAGTTGGTGGTGGGGTGATAGCGGTGGTGTGGGTGGGGCGGGGTGGTG